CAGCCTCCCACCACATCCAACCAAAAGGACAAAAAAGAAGCAAAAAAGGCATGGTTGCACCCCCACCCGAACAGCCACAACAAGGGAACCAGAAAAGCAGAGAGAGTGAACTGAACAACAAGCAAGGGAAACCGGGAAAGCAAGGAGCAGAAACCGAACAGCCCAGCAAGGGAAACCGGGAAAGCAAGGAGCGGGAACCAAACACCCATCAAGGCTAAGAGGCAGCTTAGCTACTCACTAACAAACCCAAGCACAAAGGACCCAAAGAAGCTAGCACACCAAAGGAAAAAAAATATGTCCAAGAGCACCAAAACCACAAATGTTCATTGGTTGCCTTCCAACATTGGGTAAATAAAATAAAACTTAAAAATTACAATAGCATAAAATAACATAAACATTTGAATGCACCAATAATGTAATGTAATGATATTTCAATTGTAGCTTCATAACAAAAGAAACATAATGGATCATAGTTACTTCAAGGATTTAGTTTATGAAAAATAAAATAGGGCATTAATTCGTAGATATAATCATCATGATGTCATTGACACTATTTCTTTGACCGAGATTGATGATGCAAATGAATGGCTAACCGAAAAAATGTATGATGAGTCTGATGAAAAAAATGAATTCATTGTTGGAGAGGAAGATTTGACATGGATTACTGTTAAAGGCTACCAGTGTTTATGACAAAAACTACAAAATTTGAGAGCGATATAAAGTAAAAACAAGGAATCTTCATTTAGGCATGACATTATTGTTATTGAGAATGAGGATGACGTGGGTGATGAAAAGGATTATGAAATTGGAGATAATATTGATGAAGAAAATGTAGCTTTTTTAACCTTTGTTGATGATGATGATTCCCAAAAAAAGTAGATTAAATTATTACAAAATCATTATGCTTTAAAAAAATGATTGCAATAATTTGAATTATAAAAGTTTGATGTGTTGTTTAAGTACTTATATTTATGCATGACTTTAATTATCTTTTATTATTATGATAGTTTATCTTTCAGTTTAATGACATTTCATATAATGCCTATTTTTATAACTATTTTATATTTTGCGTCATTATCAAAATGGTACATGCCACACTGTGCACTATGAGGCATGGCTTCAAGGAAAACTTGGAACCGTGGTGCGTCATTCATTGTTGACAAGTATGGTTGATAGGACCATTAGGTTTAGATGAACATATACTCTAGTAACAGCAATATAATGGATGACTAAGTATTAAGTGCATCATCAACATTAATGTCAATTGTACTATTGGTATAAGGTACAACTAAACAAAATAGCATGTTGTGCACTATTTGTGGAATATGCGTAATAAAGCATACACCCTATTTTGTTGGTTTAGTTTCTTGAATGATTTTTTTACTGTTTAGAATGGAATAATGTTGCAAGAGATGCTATGCTTGGGCATGAAAAAATATACAACATTTGAGATTGATTTAAAGGAAAAAAAAAAGGAATATTCATTTAAACCAAGTAAACTTGTAGACCACCTGGAAATGCTGATGATGATGAAGAAGATTATGATTAAGGAGATCATATTAATCTAACGAGATTACTTTAGTTTATGATGATATATTTCTCAATATAACTACTTTAATTTTTAATGAATATGAGACTTAAAAACAAATTGCTTATTGAGGTTGGTGCCTCCATGCTCTAAAAGTAAGTCTTTTATCCTATTACTATGCATTACTCTAACCATGATGGTTTTATTTGCAAATTTAATTATTTTCTTTACTATGGCAGTTGATAATTCATCCTAATCACAATTCATCAACTTTCATGTATGTTAAATTGATTTTATGTTCAACTACATTGTTGTTGTTGTTGTTTTCTTCTTTTTTTTTTTTCTTTAAGGATATTTTCTATCTTAAATTCTTGAATTATTCATAATTTTATGACTCGTGATATTTTAAAATAGCATGCGCCATGCTACGTACTATGAGCTATGACTCTAAGAAACCCTTTGATACACTAGGGGGGAATACCTTGTGGGGCTCGGGGAGAGTTAATATTCACTATGTAGAGAGGAGAAATCAGGGGAGAAATAACTAGGAAATTTTATTTAGAAAAAGATGTCTAATTGAATTTAGATTTGGGAGGAAATTAGGAAAGATTTATTTAAGAAAATGGGGCTGATTTGAATTTAGATTTAAGAGGGAATTAGGAAGGTTTTATTAAGGGTAAGAGGGTTGATTTGAATTCATATTTGGTAGGGAAATATGATGCTTTATTTAAGGGTAATTAGGTTGTTTTATTTTCATTATGTAATTGTGTTTGTTGTGGTTTATCTTTGGAGTTGTTCCTAGAAGTGCCTAGGACTTATGGGAGAGCAGATCTACCTCTCCAATAGTAGATCAATTGTATATTTCATTATTATTGAAGTATTAATCAAAATCAACCTCTATCTTCAAATTCCTACAGTTTTCTACTTATTACCTAACTGTTTTAACCTAACCAAGATTTGACCGGGATTCCCTTGACCGAATCTAAGGGAAAGGAGATCTGGAGGAGTTCGATGAGGGAGGATCGGGAGGTGAAAATTTTGGGGGAAGAAGATGAGATGTCACCTTTGGAGCCACTTCCAAGGAGGGCCAAGAGTGAAGGAGTGGGGCTTTTGGTGGAGCTACAAAGTTTGGAAGGAGAAGAAGATGGGAGAAGATAGAAGCACCAAACATGGTTCAGCCACTCCTACAACAATATCGAGAGGTGTTCCAGCTAATTTAGTGCTGCAAGCAAAAATTTGGGAAGGGCCCCAAATTTTTTATTACAAAAATAAAACCTTAATAATCTTTAAAAAACATACATGGGATAAGAAAATACAAACAAAGAAGAGACAACTTAGAAACTTTAAAACAAACTCTTACATTTCATAACACATACAAACATAAAGAAACCGTTACAACCTTCAAGACCAAACTTAAAACAACCTAAAGATGATTTTCTTTCATTTAGAATAAGGATACAAGTGGAAGGGATACTTGTGGGTAGAAGAAGGGATTAGAAGACTAGACGAAGTATAGCTCGCAAGCTATAGAGAGGAGAGGAAGGAGAAGGACATAGCTCGCAAGCTATTCCAAAGAAAACCTGCAAGTTTTATCTTCCAAAAATCATCATCACAACCTCCTTTTTTTTATGCCAAAACAACTCCTATTTATAGGTAAGAAAGGGAATACAAACAGCCACTAAAACACATTAATATTTTATTTAAAAACAGGGAAATGAATGGCCAATCAGCCACAAAACAATTCCCAAACGTTACAGCAAAAACAGAGAAGGAAGTACACGGAACCAAGCAGGGAACCGCAAAACCAAACAGCCCAGCACGAAACCAAGCAAGGAACCGCAGAACCGAACAGCCATCCATGGGAACCAAAGGGGCAAAGGCACAGGAAATCCACCCAACACAGTCAGCCACGGGAATCCAAGGGACAAGGCTTGGGAAAACAGTCAGCACAAGAAAACAAATAGAAAAAGGGAGAAGAAGGGGCAAAGTCCATTCCAAAATGAATCCAAGATATAATAGCATACCTTTATAAATTAATGAGCTAGGAAGTGCAATTAATCCCCAATCATTGAGCTAAAACTTCAGCTCAAGCATTTATGAGCTAGCACCAAAAAAAATTCATAATTTTGAGCTCAATTCCAAGCAACCAAGGCTCACCCGAGAACACTAGAAGCCCAAGGGTCAAAATAAATTTTCATCTTGTTTTGACCCCCCCCCCCCCCCCCCCCCCCCCCCCTCCCCTGCCTACATCATTCAGAGGGTTGCCTCCTCCATTTCGGAGGGAATTAGGAAGTTTCCTAATCAAGAAGAAACTATTTATGAAGGTTTTTAATCGAAAGGGAATTATATAAGAAAATTTTTATTACAATTAGGAGAGAATTATTTAGGGCAAGAGATCTAATTTGAATTCTAACTTGGAGGGGATTAATTAAGAGATGTTTCCAAATTAAAAAGAGAATATTTTGGGACTAATTTGGAGGGGATTACTTAGGAGATGTCTCCTAATAGGAGAGAGCATATTTTGTGCGTGTGTGTGGGGTAGTGGTGGTGGTGGTGGTTGGGGGGTGAGGGCCCTGATTTGAGAGGGTATGGGGGAAGGGCTGCTTTGAAATTTGTTGTTTATTGTTTGCTATAAGTAGTAGGGTTTATGTTATATTTTGTATGCAGAATTTTGTGAGTATTTGCTGTCCAATATTTTTGTGAGGAATCCTAGTGGCGTCTAGGGTTTGGGAGAGGCGGTCCTCCTCTCGAAAGAGGACCATTGCATCTTATTTGTTTGTATTTCCTTTCTTATCAATAAAAATCTGTTGCTTGTTGAATTTTTATTGGTTCGTTGGCTGTTTTTGATACCAAAGCGTATCACCCTTGTGCTAGAAAGCTTTGTTCATTTTCAACAAGCATGATCATCAAGTAAGAAGGTGAAAGAAAAAATCTTGAAGCATAAATGACAAGGACCAGCAATGGAACGGCAAGGCAAGGCAAATTGAGAAGGATAGAAATGACTGAAATGTGACCAACCAAATCTAATATGGATAGAATTCATAAAAATAGATGGCAAAGGAAAGTATAAGAACACAAAACATATCCCCTATAGGAGGTGAGAGGATGATAATGATGATAATAATAACCTAAGCCATAGATATTTTGTGCTAAAAGAAAGCAAATGGAATAGGTATATGTGTGGCAGAGTGGCGTTGCACCAAACTTATTAAGGGAAAAGTATAAACATTGAACAATTCTTATTTACCCTTTTCAGATAGACAAAAAAACATCTACCCAGGAAATGTTAAAAGAGAAACAACTAACAGCAAAAATTGGGAAAGGAAATACAAATAAGAACATATTTCAACAAATACATATGTGAATAAGTCAATTATCAGAAGTTATTTCCTTCACCAGAATACTAACAAGAACATCAGAAGTTATTTCCTTCAACAGAATAATAACAAGAACAGAGCAGGATAACTCATACTTTTCCTAAAACTGGTGCCATTCCCATGATCACTGACGCCAAGGCTGAGCGAACATGTTGGGATGAATCTGATGACAATTCCTGAATTTACAGCATGAAAAAGCATTAATAAAACTAAAAATAATAATAATGAAAGAAAATATTAGGATAATGAACCGGACAGAATTTAAATTAAAAGCACCAAAATATGCATGACAATCATGGAATGGATACCTTGACACAAGGAAGAATGTGTTGGATAGCTAGTGCAGGGCCCAAAATCTGGCAAAACTTTGTTACTTTGCCAGCAGCTGCTATGCGAACTTCTGCCTCATTATCACGGAGAAGTCTAACATAAGCCGGAACCAAATCCGACCTAGCACAAATAAAAAGTTTGAATCAACGGAAATAACTCCTAAGAGATAAAAGAAAGGCAAGAAACTTAGTGAATAATACATGATCTCTAATTCAAATATTGTAGAGGCCAATCACACGAGAAGTTAAAAGTCCAAAAAATACCACAGATTGAGTGCTTTGTCAACAATGTACAATCGAGAAGGATGAGACGTAAGCGGAAAAGAGGACCGTGTAAAAACTAACAGAATTTCATAAGATGAAAAAAAAAAAGCCTTCTTAGTGTCATATGAACAGATTATGCATTAAGGCATTCAAATAACTTTTAAAAGGGTATATACACACGCACGCATATATATAATTATCCTACTTATATATTTAACATCTAAAACTTTTTATTTACTCATATAGCACTTAATATGGTGGGACAAAGGCTTGATGTTGTTGTTGTTGTATATAGCACTTAATTATTTAAAAAGCATCAAAAATACCACCTTCCTCACCCTCTCAATAAACTTTCCATCACAATGTGTTAGAGTAAACTCCTCTTCTTCTTAACTCACCATCGATCTCGTCAATGCGCTTCCCTAGCGATATCCAATTACAATTTCCTCATCTCTTCTTTGTCATCAAGGGCTTTGCAATTTTGAGTAGGAGCAACAGGACAATTGGAATATAAGTTAGCAAAGTGATTGCTTAGTAAATAGGAAGTTTAAGGTTTTGAATATGTAAATAAGATAGTTTTAATTATTATGTATGTAAATCTCCCATTTTCAAAATTTAGAAGGCTATATCAACAATATTAAAACGTTCAAAACATTTACTAAAGAGAAAATTCAAAAAATGATAATAAATATTGAAAAAAAAAATAAGCTAAGCAATAAGTGCAGAAAAACCATATCAGAAACCACAGATACTGTGAGAAATGAAATGTATGAGGGAGGTATGAATGAATTTATTGGGAATAGTGTTGCCACAATACAACATATAAGAAAAAGGAACGAAAAAAAATCAAATAAAAGTTCTACATAGCATGAATTTGTTCCAGAGACTTCTTGTGGGACCAAGTGCACGTCTTTAAGTGAATACGAACCAACACAAGCATGCATAAATTTAGGTCAATTAGCTTATAGAAGTAGCAATATCTCAAAATATTCTCCCACATATGGGATAAACAGAATTTTAATAAATAAGAAAACTTATAAACGCAAATGTATTTCTATAACAATATACAATGCTTGCCAAACACTACCTCGTAGTTTCTGGACCAACAGCTTCACTTAGTTCATACAATTGATTAGCAACCATATAGCGAACACGCCATGATTTATCCTATTAAAAATTTAAAAAATACACATTAATGCAATAAAGTTGTCAGACTAATTAACTGAATATTTATTAACATCTGTTAGACAGTGTAGCTAAACAATTTTGAACAAATTCTTCTGGTTAATGCAAAGAAAAAATAATTCATAAACAGAACATAATAGACAAACCTGAGAGAAGTTGATAATAACTGGAAGTATGTGAGATACACACTCCTGGGGTTCTAACAGTTTTCCAAGAGCAGCGCATCCTTCAACAGCCAAGAGACGCACAGAATCTTGATCTAAATGAAAAATGACAAAATATATCAATAATGAGGTGTACATAACAATGAAACTAACAAGAAAAACTATAATGAGTAGTTATCAGACCTGGCAAAAGTCGTTAAAAAAAATCAACAAACCAAATGATTTGTAGATACTTACAGCCATGGTTTAAAATTGTGCAATAAAAGGCGCGCCTCGGCGCAATATGGCCCCTTTAAGCCTCAAAGCCCACGCAATAAGTTCAAGTTTTGAGGCTTACGCCTCAAGTTTACTGAGGCGCGCCTCTCCTCACATTTTTTAGGCGCCGCCTCTAAGAAAAAATAACTAACCTAATATATTTTTGTTCAGTTCTGACCCCCCAATTGCCGACGTGGATTGTCTAGTGAGATGTCGACGTGGCTTCAACATTTAAACCCTGGTAAAGATAAAATGGCAGAAAAATTTCACAGTTCACACGGCGTTTCGGTTTTCAACTTCCGGCATACGTTTCAAGCATTCACTCCGGAGCAATTTCAAGCATTCACTCAGTTCCTTCTAAGATGTCGTCACCCCAAAAAGAAAGGTAATTTGCTTGCATGTTTTCTGTTTAAGTTCTACGTATTTTATGTTTATGCTATGTGTATGTGTTTAGGGTTTTGAAGTTCTTCGTATTTTGTGCTTACACTATACGTATGCGTTCCTTCTCGAAACTTTTTAAATGTTTGATGTCATCGTATTTTCTCTGTATTTAGGGTTTATGTTGAAATTTGAAACTTAAACCCTAACTAAATTTTAACAATTAAACCCTAACAAACTTTTAAAATAAAGTAGTTTGTGTCAATGTTGCGTGTAGGATGTGCATACGCTGTGCATAAGTACTGAGTACTCTATGCGTATGTTGTGCGTACGCTATGCGTATGTTGTGCGAATTTTTTTACTTATTTTATATGTTACTAACCTTGATTTTTCATATATATGTTCGTCCTATTACCTATCGATGCTATGTTTCGACTTTTCGAACAATCTGAGAAAATTTTGCTCAGTAAATTTCTCCTGAAGACGTGGACAGATTGAACTGTTTAAATATTATACAATTTTTGTAATTTCCTGGGTTTGAGCAAAATGTCCCACTTATTTATGAGTTGATCTCAAGGTGGAATATTTCAAAGCAATGCTTTATTCTAAAAGGTCAACCTCTTCCTTTCACTGCTGATGAAGTGGCCCTTCTTGCTGGTCTGCCAAATAAATAAGAAGAAATATCCTAGTTTTCCTTAGCACATACATCAATTACATCATTGAAAATTAAGGCAGGCATGCTGGAGTTGAACAAGCAAAACCCCCCACAAACTATGTTAAGAACGTTTATTATGTATTTATGTTCAAATTTATTTTTTCAACTTAACAACTTTAAAACCTCTCGGTTGTTCAAAGAATAGCTAATAATGAAGATGATTTTTTGTCAATAAACTGAACAGTGTCGATTAGAGAATTTTTAACTGAGGGTTTAATAAGGCCTCCTCTAAGATTTCAAATAAGAAGTCAACATGTTATATCAACGGTTTTGTACCTCTGTTAATTATGAGTGTTAAGTGCTAACTGCTAAATTCATTCAAAATTTTATTTAATTTCAATAATTCATTTGCTAAAACTTTCTTTCATCTTAAGCAGGTTTGATTCCTGGAGTATACTTCTATTCATGCTCCTATGAATGCTGACAAAAGGCCTCGTTTACTACGATGGGTTGATGATATTGCATACACTACAGAGGTGGTTACTAATTTATTTGTTAATCTAAGGAAAAGTCAAATTTTTTGTCCTCCAGGGAGTTTCCTAAGCTGAAATTGATCTAATTAATATCAAGAAATATCCATCAGACAACCATCCATCCCTTGATTCCCCTCATGAAATAACCACCCATCAACGCACCCAAATCTCCCCATCATACCCCACCTCCTCAACAAGACCCCCACCAATCTCCTCAGCAACCACACTTAAGTTTTTCTGCTGAAGCATTGAATTCTCTCTAAGAAAGAATAATCAAATCCTGCCAAGAAACCTGCACAAAACTCTTTATTGAATTTGAAGGTAGGATGAGCAGAAAGTTTGAAAATCTAGCTAAAAAAGTAGAAGTTCTTGAGGTCAAGCTCAATAATTACATTGATCAGAGCAAATTATTTCCTCAGAAATGATCTGTTAGCTATTATACATCTTCCAATAAGAAACATAAATCAAACATCCCTCCCCCCATGTTGAAGAACATTTGGTTGTACAAGTTATGACAGATAATGCAAGTGCTTACAAGGCTGCAGGTAAAGAACTTATGGAGAAGAGAAAAAATCTATATTGGACTCCATGTGCTGCACATTGCATAGATCTGATTCTTGAGAAGCTTGGGGAGCTACCTCAACATAAAAATGCACTTAATAAAGCAAAAAAAATAACCAAGTTTATTTATAACCACTCATGGGTTCTAGCACTTATGAGAAAATTTTCAAAGAAAGAAATTCTAAGGCCAGCAGCAAAAGATTTTCCACTGCTTACATGACCTTAGAGAGCATACTGGATGCTAGACAACTTTCAGAGGCTATGTCCACATCTACACAGTGGTTGAGTTGTGCTTGGGCGAAAAAGGCTGAGGGAAAAGAGATTAGAAAAATTGTTTTAAATGACAGATTTTGGCAAAGTGTCTTATATGTCATTGCAATCACTAGACCTTTAGTTTATGTTTTAAGGATAGTGGATGCTGAGAAGAAGCATGTAATGGGTTTCATCTACAATGCCATGGATGAAGCCAAAGAGATGATTGCCTCCAACTTAGGAGGCAATGAGAGAAGCTTTAGGGAAATTTAGAATATTATTGATAATAGGTGGGAGCTACAGCTTCACCGACACTTGCATGCAGCTAGCTATTACATAAACCCTCAATATCGATATTCAGAGAAGAAGTCTACAAACCCTGAAATAAAGTTGAGATTGTATCATTGCATAGATCATCTAATAAGTGATGCAACTAAAAGATCAAATGCTGACATGCAATTGATACCTTTTAGGAACAAAGAAGGCTTTTTTTTATTACAGCAATCAAAGGATACAATTATCAAACGATCTCCAAGTGATTTTATTTGATGTTTAAACATTCATTTAAAAGTTATTTTTTCGCACTAATTAAACTCTCTTATATAAATATTAGTTGAATGGTCGATTCAATTTGGTGATGGGACTCCAGAATTGCAGCGTTTTGCTGTGAAAGTTTTGGGTTTGACATGATCTTCATCTGGCTGTGAAAGAAATTGGAGTATCTATAATCAAGTACATACAAAGAGAAGAAATCGCTTGTCCGACATTGAGGATGAATTCACTGGTGTACATTATGTACAATATGAGACTCAGAGATAAGAATTTGGAGAAAAAAAGATTAATGGATGATGAAGATCATTTGCTTTGTGAGGATGTGGCAACTGATGATGAGTGGTTTGTAGATGATGAAGTTGAAGTAATGCCGTCTAAATTACAAGACGAAGATTTAAATGTTGATTTCTTTGATGGTCTTAAAGCATCTACATCAACCACAACTCAAGAACAAATCAAAAAAGGTATATAAATAATATATTTTTCTTAGACTTTTATTAATGTATTACACTATTATTTATTATGATATTGTTCAAAAATATTTAGGAAAGAGGAAGATAACTAATAATGAGGAAGGAGCTGATTGGGAGACATTGGACTCTATATGAGAGGAGGAAGAGGAGAGAGCATTTCATCATAATGATGATTCAAATGAAGACCCCCTTAGTAATGACTGATGACAGTATTGATGACTAGTGAGTTCTTATGTGATATGTCAATGTCATTGCTTATCTTGTGCATTTTTATGTTTTATATATTACTCATTAGTATATACAAAATTTATCATTTTATGTTTATGCAATTTTTTGATTTTGAGTCTTACGCCTCAAAACGCCTTAAGGCTTACGCCTCGCCTCACGAACGAAAAATGCCTCAATACCCGATTACGCAATTTTAAACATTGCTTACAGCCGGCATCAGAGTTGAAGAAACAAAAAATCATAATAAATTTAGATACCACAACTCACAAAAAATGCAAAAAAAAAAAGTACAAGTGAGTTATAGAATCCAGCTTACAAGAATAATATTCAAAGGATGAATCAGACTTGTCAGGATACAAAAGATAACGAGAACTTTCTCAGCAGCAATGATTTTCTACTAGGAGACAACAACTTTAGCATTTGCTGTATCCAAAGAATTTTCTGAACAGTTACAGCTTTGTCCAGGGCTTGAAAAAACAGCTTAAATGCACAAAATCACCATTCACGTTAAATTAGTTCAGATTAATAGGGCATTAAATACTAGTGATTTTTCTCCCATTAAAGACATGCCTTATTTCTTGACGAGATGTGAAAAAGGGGCTTTACAATCTTAAACTAGCTAGTGTCCTTCCTCTGGTATTCCACTTACATAGCAAGCTAAGAAAACTGCCACAAATTCCTTTATAAAAAAATTAAAAAAAAAAAACTAGGGTCCAAATAAAACAAATAAGAATATCATTTAGATAAAATGTTCTGGGGACCCTTTAGCAAACAAAAATATAGTCAGGTACTTCATGTTATAGAAAGTTACAAACAGCTGTCTATTTAACAAAATTCTCTGTTTAGCACATCAGCTGTCTATTTAATGGCAATTATTATTCATGATCACAGAATCCGATCAAATGACTACACTAACCTAAATAATTTGTCATTTCTATTTTCATCGTTAGCCTTGTATCAACCATTTATAGTGGGCAGAGATGGTGGAGAAGAATTTAAAACAGGTACGATGAGTTGTATGATGACTTCAGATGGGGTGTTAGATGTTAAGGAGGGGCAGGACCAACAACATAGGTATTTGGTGGTTGCAAAGTACAATATGTAGTAGACGTCTGTAAAGAAAAAAAAATAACCTGTGAACTAATTTGCATCTATTTAATATGTAAAGATTCTATCAGTGCAATGGAACAGAACAAGACCTTTGAAGAAAAATAGGATCACAATATGATTCACTGAAATGAGGGGCCAAATTAGACGTCTGCAATTCATTTTTTAAGGCTAAAAAATATTTATTTCGCACTTCAATTTTCAATTGACTTCGCAAGTTTTAACGGCAAAAATAGCAACCACACTGTTGTATAGAAACCTGTCAACTCAAACTGGGAAAAGAAAAACAAGTGGTTGAAATAACATACCATCTTGAGTAAGATCCTCAAACATAGACATCACATCTGTCTTCAAGTGACTTTGTTCAACAGTACTTGCAAATTTTCCCAAGTTGGATGCAGCAGATCTTCTCACCATAGGCATGTCATCTTGACAAAGCTGACCATATATGGATCTTAGTTCAGCTTTCAACATATCAGGAGAACTTGGATAGGCGATATGGAACAAGCCACAAGAGGAAACTCGAGCTGTAAACCATTCACCAGCTGCTAATCTCTAGACATTGGCAACATGATCAAAATAAAAAATAAGTGAGGTTTCAAAGTACAAAATTTTATTTACTGTTTTCTATAGTACAGAGAGAATAAGAGAGGAGAGTGAGTTTATAAAAACAGAATAAGGAAATGACAGATAAAACTAAATAAGATTCAGAATAAGAAAACATGAATATATCTAAAAATTATCAAAAGAGCATAGAAAAACATTATGTATCTAAACAGACAAGATAACAACAATTGCTTCCATGTAACATACCTACTGCACATGTAAGATACAAATAATCATAAACTTTAAGAATCACATAATTTGCTGAATGTGAAGAAAAAGGAGATTTTGGTCCAGAAAGACTAGAAATAATAACTCATGTCCTCTACATATGGCAAATATATAATTTATCAAAGTTTGAAGAATCAATAGCTTTGAATCATGCTCCTGAAAGGTGTCAAGTTATATTTATTCACTTTCAACAAAAATCAAATATGAGAAAACATGAATTAAACTCGCAAATTTTAGAAAACTTTCGTATCAATATGAAATCTTACAACAACAACAACAACAAGCCTTTATCCCACTATGTGGGGTCGAATATGAAATCTTCATTGCCAGAAAAGTATAATATAATCAAAATGAAATAATAATTCAGATAAGAAAAAATAAGAAACAAACATCCTATTTTACCTCTCATTTCTCAAATTTGAAAACAACAAGGATGAAGATCTTTCTCTAAATAAAGGGAAATGGTGTGAATCAGTCTTAGGTTTCATATATAGCTTGCATGACAGCCATAGTTTCTCAACATCAAAATGTCATAATTTTCATTAAACATTGGAGTTAAAGTATGCAGGTACGAAAAAGGAAAATAGGAGAAAGACGGCCAATATAATAAAGCAAACATAAAGAAAGAGTAAACTTCTCACCTTCACCAAAGGAACAAACCAATCTACAATATCACTTTCCTTCATCTGAGACCCAATTCGACACAATGACTCAACAGCTTTATCCCTGACACAAGTTTCCTCCACAGAACACAAAGTCTCCAAAGGAGGAAGCAAAACATGAGCATATTCCACGCCTCCAACATATGGAATAAATACACCCAGCTCCTCCGCCATTGCAAGAAGTACTTCGTCGTCGTCATCATTGTTCTCACTGAGGAAAGGAATCAGCTCCTTCCTAGTTCTTTCTTCACCAAGCGCCCTTGCTATAGTGGAGAGCCTGCGGATGGAGTTCAATCTCAGCTGAATATCTTCATTTTTAAGTTCATCAATTAGAATAGCAATCGGATAGAGTGGCTCATCAAGCATAGCCATTACGCTTCACAAATCCCTTACAGCTGCAAGACAGGAAGGAAATAAAATCAAACTCACATTTTATACTGATAATTAGAGAATTACAAAATTGGAGCATGGATAAAGTGATAAGAGTAAGAAAATACAATATCAATATTTAATACTAGCAAACACCACCTCATTCTCCAAAAAGAATACCTACTACAAAAGAAAAGCAAGCATTTACCTGTGATAGTCAAGAGACCGTGGATCTATTATAATAAAAATTCAATTCCTAAGTATTTCATAGTCACATACCACCCAACTTTTTTATATTGAGTTATTTACAAACAAACAAAGTCGGGGTTTGTTTATTGTTTTAAAAAGGAATTTCACAAGTCAAAAATCATGAGAAATAGTTGCTATCACAAGCTAGTAATGAAATTTCCAATCAAAACAAATGTAGACTGATTTTATTCAACCCCTATGTAAAATATTTTGTGTTGCATATCAGAAAGAAAGAAAAAATTATTCCATTAGGCATCACAAATGAAGTTTATAAAACATCAAGTATGAGAAACATGTTATCCTATGCTCATGCTAATAATTCCAAATAAAGCCTCTATAAAGTGCAAAGTGTCAAACACTCCACTGAGAGGAGGGAAGGGCGGTGTAACAGAATGATCACGGCAGGGGTTAGGGTAGGGGAAATCAGGATGAAGTTGAAGTACCCCATTAAAAAAGAATGTTAAACAACTTCGCTTCCTAGGTCAGAAACTTTCATAAGTATACATTATAAATAAATAACCACATCAAACTGATGCCAACTTTATAACTAAAATGGCATATCGACAAACATCATAATATTATATCAATTAGTGAGAAGATGAACTAAATATTGAAGTTGAGCATCTATCCTGGGAATAAAACAGATAGTTAAAGTTGCTCATATAAACAAACGATGTTATCTCATTTTTCCAAAGCAAAAAAACTTGAGCAACAACATAAATACAAATTGCATGAGTTTTAATACTGAATTTTCCTTACTCAATGCTTATAATTTGATATAATTACAACTACTATCAGATCCCTGAGTCCAATGTTGAGAAAAATATAATCATTTTTCATTTTTATTTTCCCATAAAATGATGCCACCATTTTTTATAAATTGAACTTACAATTTTTTAAAAAAATAACGATCATACATGAACAGATAGCTTCCTTTCATATAGGTTCTCTTAACTTGAACTGTTATAAGAAATTAATGGATAAATACTTCATGAAGATTCCACCTAGGTCCTCCGAATAGCCATGTCACTGCTGTTAACTTTAACTTCTTTGAATACACAATGACTTACTGGAAATTGACTTTTAAAAGTGGTTCATGTTTCAATGCTCATTACTATCAGCATTGCATAATAAAGTTCAACTTTTCTTTTTAAAAATAGCCTTTGCATGTGCATATATCATATAAACAATTACAAAGGTTTGTATGACACCAAGAGGGGTTAAAACAACTACTACCAAAGTCACTTGCATAAGAATAAGTGAGCTCAGACATGTTGGTAGAAATTCCTCAATTGCTCCCATTATGCATAAACAGATTATAAATAGTTTGCCTCCTTAAAGCATTCAAATCGTTCCTTAGTTCATCTAGATAATGTATTTCTACATTTATCCATGTTTTTTAATAATCTTATTTGAAATTTCATAAATAAAGAATACAATTGAAAATTATTGCTTCATTCATGACAATGGAAGAGTGTAACAAGACATATTTTTGCATATATCTACAGATGAAATTTAAGAAGCCATATTAGGGTACACCATTTCATCATTTTTTACCGCATCTGTTACAAGCTTTCAACAGAAAATAGTAGTGAAAAGAATTAAAATCCAATGTAAACTATATATTTCAATATAAAGAAATAGATTTGTTACTTAGACACTATGATAACCATCAATGTACTTGTTATATCCCAACACGGACCGAACTAGCCCGGGACTTTTCACGAATGCAAGCAAGCCGCCCCGCTCTCTTCCGCGCGAACCAAAGCCAAGCTCCCCTCCTTCGCACGCAAGCGAGCCAAACAGCCTTTTTCGGCCGCAAATCTCCCTCCAATCGCTATTCCTTCCATATTCGTCAGATCTTCACGCTGGATGCCTTCCTTTTTATCATTTAAGATGAATAGGTGAACCTAGGACATCATTCTAAACCCCCTCTTTCCTCCCTCGTAGCAGCCGCCACAACCCTTCCTTCTCCCCCTTCCTTGCTTCTTTCTCGCAACAGCGCCTACAGCATGTTTCTCCTTCAATAGTAAGCTTCTTCATCTTCTCTTCTCACCTCCCTTTATTTTATTTTCTTCTTTGTGTTTATCAAGTTGTATAATCATGTTTCATTCCCTCATTTCATTAGTTTTATTTAGATTTTATTTCAGTTTTATTTTATTTTATCAATTTAGCTTGCTTTAGGAAGAAGCTTTATACGTGTTGATGTTTCGAATCGACCTAACCCTGTTTTATCTTGGATATTTTCAAACTTCGTTGTTTATGGCATAAATCTTTCAAGCATGGTTATTAATATCTAATGTATTTTTAGGTTTGATTTATAAGTTTTATGTTACAAACATTTGTTCCCTTTAGCATCATCTTCAATGTTAAATTACAATTTATTGTTTGTAGGACCCTTTGAGTTTTATCTTTGAGGCGTGAGCAGTGAAGCATCTTTTGGGCTTTGAGTTGTGTCACTCGCCTAGATGTAAGCATTGTTATTTATATTTGTGTAAACGTACTAATCTTTGTTAAGGATGCAATCCATGCCAATTGTAGAAGGCTCTCTTATAAATATTTAGATGAGTCCTATGTTGAATTCATTAGCATAATAATACATGTACTAACCTTCTTTATCGTTCATAATGAATCAGCTTAGGTATAAACATAACTTTACCTTGTATCTTTTGGGCTTTGAGTTGTGACATTCGCCTAGATGTAAGCATTGTTATTTATATTTGTGTAAACGTACAAATCTTTGTTAAGGGTGTAATTCATGCCAATTGTAATAGGCTCTCTTATAACTATTTAGATTAGTCCTATGTTGAATTCATTAGCATAATAATACATGTAGTAACCTTCTTTATCGTTCATAATGAATCAGCTTAGTGGTAAACATAACTTTACCTTGATTTATTCATCATTAGTTCTTATTCATGTAAGTTAAATTTATATATTGGAAAAGTTAAATTTATCTAATTAAGCTTTGTTAAATAAAATGAACCTCATTCCCACAAATCATAACAAATATACAAATCATATATGACATATTGATTTATATAATATGTGTTGGTCATTCATAAAAGCAATTATCTTGTATGATTGTATGCATGTCGATGGAATCCTATTTGTTTTTAGCTAGCCAAGGTCGATATGCCCCCACAGTGACGACTCTACAGGAAATTAATGGATTTCCTTGTGTTGGTGTCTACCTTCTCGATATGGGTATATGATGAACCGACCATAAATATATATGTTTAAATGTAAGAAAATGTAAGTAAATATGAATTGGAAATAATAAATAATTGTATATCATTTTGAGGTATGATGATACCTAGTATGATTGCACTTTCAGGCATTAAAATAATTGCATTAATAGTGATTTACCACATACATTAATATCACAAGCATATTAGATCTTTGTTGTAGGAAACATGGCATGTGTTGGTGCTATTTGCTTTGATGACTTAAAGTTGTTACTTCTACCCTTAGTTGTCCATATTGCATGCCCCACTCATTTGTTATTTATGCTTTGATAGATAGTAATTACTTGTTAAGTTTGATTTATCAAACTCACCCATTACCTTTTTTTAGCTGGTCATATAAGCGTGTTTTGTTGAATGTCACCTCAGGAGCAGGGTTCCTATCATTATACTATATTTTGTTGTAGTAGTTTATTATGTTATGTTTATGATTTTTGTGGGTTGGGAAGATTCGTTCCTGCATTTCGTTCTATTTATATTGGCTTGTATCAGAACTCTTATTATTAAATGTTTTGGATATTTAAACTTCTATTAATGAATTGGATCCTTATTCACTTCCTCCGTTTACTCTAATGTATATATGTATCCTTTGAATATACATATTCTCTTTCTGAATACAAAATAGGTTTTCTTATTCATTCACCATGCGTCCCATGTTGTCGGGGTGTACCGCCTTCCGGACTCAGGGTATGATAGTATTAAACCATACCTTGAATACCTAAAACATCATACAAAATGCTACATTAAAATAATTCAATAAAAATTAAATTTAATTATTAAAGATACTATTTATTCTGGCCTATATTATTGTATTGTGCATAAAGGTACAAGCTCAATTATGTCGAACAATAAGCAACATGCCACATGAAGTAAGAATTAAGAATTCAATAAACATGGGATATACAAATAAGATTACTATAATGAGTATTGCTATGGTGACCAACTCATGGCCCCTTAAAAAAACCTTCATGCCATTGGATGAACGATAAGTTGCATGCATATGCCACACATGTCATTTATAGGCAATCCAAAAACTGAATCATTCAAAACACTTTAAATGCATTAACCTTCCTTATCATGCAACTTTATTCCAAAAAAAAAAAAAATCAAACTGCCATCTAGACAAAATGAATTCTCAAAAATATGAAGCAAGAGAAAAATGTTTCCATCAGAAATTGTAGCACATGAAAAAAGTAAAACAACATTTTTCTTGAATTAACATTTTAGCTTCATAGCACCTAAAATGATCAATTAGAGCTTTTGGTGAAAAGAACTCCCGCTCCAAAGAAATCATGTACAATAAAATCATAATTCTAACACATAAGTTGCCCAAAAGAGCAAAATACGATAAAAGGAGGTTACTATTGCCTAAATAAGACATTAAAATTAAATGTTCACGGTAGAGAATGATTAATATAGCAATCACTAACGAAATGTATCTAGGTGCTTGCAGCATTTGATGTCATGTACCAAACAAAACGAAGCTATAACCCCAACTTCAATTTAAAATATATCTCAAACAAAAAATGCTTTCCATTCATTCAAATATGAAGCTTCAGGGAGAATAGGCCGCTCAAGATTTCACCGACCCAAAATAATGCACTGAAGTCAAACAAACAGATCTAGATCCTTTTTTCCACGAATCCATCCCTAGAACAAACGCTCAACCAAAACCTATAAAACCTATACACATTCCGTAACTCCAGCAGGTGACCAAAAAATCACAAGAACCACATAACATGATCTAAACCAATATCTTCCAGGAAAACCAGATAAATCCGTCGACAATTCCTCCGCCAATTCATTCTCCCAAACCCCAAAAATGCCCTAATCCCGACAGACGCGCTCAGGAACAAAGACAGGCGCCGACTCCGTTAGATCGATTCCGTTTAAAGGATATTGTGCACGAGGGCAGGAAGAGATGGTTAGAGGGAAACATTACCCGGCTATGCAATGTTGGTCGGAAAGTCCCGCGAGACGGCAAAAACAAATAGCGAGAGAGATAAGCAAATTCAAGAAGATCTCATTTATTTTCCGGAAACGGGATGATTAACTGTCAAGGTTGTAGAGAATCCAAGCTCTTACCTGTAATCGCGAAGAAGACGACTAATCCTATGAATCGATCGGGAGCGTGCGTGCGTGCGAGCGAGAGAGATCAGTCGCGGCAACCGATTTATCGTAGGATTCAAGTCGGATTTACGCTAAATCCAGCCAAACGGTTTTTGTGCGCGCGTTAAATACCGGGATTCCGTAAATCCCGGATTTACGGCTTAAATCCCGGATTTACTAAATCCCTCGGTTCGGCGGATTTAACGGAATTTAGCCGAACAAGCGTGCGAAAGGGAGAAAGTTACCTTCACAGCCAGCGAACTCCCGTTCTTGCTTCCGATCAAAATGTCGTAACTTCCGATCCGACAGGAAGGGAAAATCGTAGAAGGAACGAAGTCGAATAGCCACGAAGGAGCCGAAGAAGCGACGCGTGCAATCTATACACCTCCTGCAAAAGCAACGAAGCCGAACAGCAACGACGAAAAGAGAAGCTGAAAGGCAAACCCTAGACGTCGAAGGGAATTTTTATTGCTTCTGGCGAGGAATACCGAGCATAACGAGTGTGTGCGGAGCGCCTGAGCACGGTACCGAGTAATTTAATGAACTGACATTTTGTTATTGTTCGTTATTGGATTCCGGATGCATTCGGTAATCTAACGGAATAATCACTCCGTAAGAGCGAAGTCGAAAAGATCTTTATTTACTCAGCCTCGCGCTTCGTTTTTGGCCCGGTCCGTCTATACCCCGCGTCCACGCGATTTAATCGAGCCGGCTCAATGAGTACTGGAGCGGGACAGTATCGAACTCGAGCTTCATAATAAACTGAACTCGAATTTCAGGTCGAACTCGAGCTCCATACTTCATAAATTCGACTCGTGAGCTTCTTAACGAGTCGAGCTCGAGCCAGCTCATAAACCGAATTGATTCATTTGCACCCCTAATTCGAGCTGTCTACCCTATTAAAAGACGAGTTAGTTGTAAAGTTATAATTATAGGTTGATTTGATTTTTTTTTAATAATTTATAATCTTTAAATTTAATTGACATAGTTGGCTTGATGTAACAAATATACATCACATATAGTGCATTATATGATGGGAATTGAAAGAATCAGAATTGACATGTTTGTCCGGTCGACGGGACCATAATCGACGGGTAACTGAAGTCGGAAAGATCGTAGTCTGGTGACGGTGGTCAAAAGGATAGTAGTCAGCATGTGACGGAGGTCAGAAAGGTTGTTGTCTAGCGACACGGGTCAGAAGGACGGTAGTCTGATGACGGAGGTCGAAAGGACTATAGTTGGTGGGCGACGGACGTCTAAAGGACCATAATCAGCGTTCGACGGGTCAGAAATACAGTTATCATGTGAAGGAGGTCAGAAAAACCTTAGTCAGCAGGCGATGAAGGTTAGAAAGACTATTGTCTGGCAACAGAGGTAAGAATGACCATAGTCTGCGAGCAACAGAGGTCAGAAAAATAGTTATCAATTTACGGAGGAAGGAAGAATCGTTGTCGGTGGACGACAGTAGTCAAAAAGACCATTGTCTGGCGATGGAGGTCAAAAAAATCGTAGTCAGAGGGCGATAGTGGTCAGGAAGATCGTTGTTTGGCAACGGATGTCGGAATGATCGTAATCGAAGGGCGACAATAGTCAGCAGGACTATTGTTTGGTGATAAAGGCTGGAAAGATCATAGTTGAAGGGCGACGGTGATCAGAAAGACCATTATCTGGCAACGGAGGTCCGAAGAATCATAGTCGGAGGGCGACAGTGGTTAAAAAGACGGTTATCTAGCAACGGAGGTCAAAAAAATCATAATCAGTGGGTAATCAAGGTAAGAAAGACCATTGTCGGGTGGAAGTCCAATAATAATTGGAAGTCCGGTTTAAGTCTTGCATTAGTTGGTGGCTGAGAAGAAGTTCAACTTCAATTAGTCACCTGATGTAATTCTGGAGAAAGGTGCTGGCCGGGGGGAGGTTTGGCGAAAGCCAAACGTCATTCAGTGCTTGGGCAGAAGTCTGACGCCTTTCAGTAGCTAGGCGGAAGTCCGCCGATAGTCAGGTGGCCGTGGGAAAGTCCTACAGTGGTTGAGGAGAATTCTGGTGGTGAGAGAACTCTAGTTTCTCTCTCTTCCTTTTCTTCCTTAATTATGTCCGGCCGATAATTAAAAAATACAGTATACCTTAATTGTCTATGGCGGCAACTTCTTTCTATTTTGAGCTTATCGTCCTGGCCGATACATGTATCGTCCAGGCCGATATGTTAATGTCGGCTGCCTTAATTAAGAATTCATATTTAGACTTTCTGTTTTAAGCCTGATCGTCCAAGACGATGTAAATATCGTCATGGTCGATATGAGTAAAAACAGAAATTCTAATTCTCTCAAGTGTGTGTGTGTAGGGTTACTTAGCATCAGTCTCTTTGACCATTACAAATAGACTCAAGAAGAAAAAAAAACAAAGTACAGACTGAATCAACCCTAAACCTACGCAATCTTGAGCTGGCTTCGTTTGTTCGTTCGATCTTCGATTCCTGAAATGTTAGAAGCTACAGGAAGTCCAAGTGTTTGTCAATCATCAAAACATAAGTCATGAAAATAGATTTGCAACAATAGATTATTTAATGGGCATTTGAATGTTTTAATGATATCAGAATTTGGCGATTTTAGGCTCATTGGACTCGACTCATCAAGCCACTCTATTTGACAATAAGCATGTCACATTTGAAGTTTGTTTGGCCATCCAATTTATGGATTGAACCTTCCAAATGTGCTTCGGGTCTTCGATTTGGTCCAATTTGGGCTTAGATTGAGTCAAATTTGGTGTTGTTGGGGTTTGTTTTTTCAAGCCGTTCAATTCGACTAAAGTTTGCTAAAATCAGAGTTCAAATGGTCCCAAATTTAATTTTGAAAGTTTCCACCTTGATTTTGCTAAAATCGGATATTTGTGCCCGATCAAGATAATTTTTTGATAATATATCAGTTGCTCCGTATTTTTGGACGTTGAAGCCTGCAAAGTTCGCAAATATAGGTCATATCATTTGAAATTGTTCGAATAGCAAAATTATAATTTTTGAGAAATTACGAGGTGCGGTCGCTCCCTCCACTTCAATGTGGACCTCCACTCGGGGCCGTGAGCCAAGTAAAAATACATTTAATTATAAATTGAGTGTGTTTTGAAGTTGGTGCGTTGATTGGAGCAAAATTTTTGAAAAATTACATCCCAAAATATTTGAAGTTGTCCAAAATTCATTATAAAAGCACCATTGAGCTCTGGAAGTGGAAAAATTGGATCTTGAACGTTGAAAAATGGTTCCGGTGATCCTAAAAATGTCTGATTTGGGTTAGGCAGATGAACAGGCCGGCAGTCATTGTCGGAAGAGACATAACGGCACGCCCTTCAGGGCGCGCAATTCTAAGCATGCTATTTTTAAAAAAATTTGATGGGTCCACATTTTTTTAGCGGGCGAGCTATAGTGCATCCCACCTCTTTTTTTAAGAGAAATGATTTTTTAACATAGAACTTTTTTTTTTCTTTTTGAGAGTTTTTTTAAAGAATATTCATTCTTAGAATATTCTTGAAATATTTTTAGAACATTCTTATTCCTAAAGAATATTCTAGAAATATTTTTAAAATATGCTGATAATGTTGAGGTTCATCCAGGTCTACATTATAGAGAAGAGTCCGAAAGGATTTTGGCATATGATGTGAGACAATTGAGAAGCAAATAAATTCCTATGGTTAAGGTGCAGTGAAAGCATAGGACAGCCATATAGGCTACTTGGGATAAGAAATCTGATGAGGCAGTTGTATCCATGTGTATTCTGACTAATTCTGCTTTGCTTTGGGAATGTCGAGGAAGACATTTTTCTTAAGGTGGGTAGATTGTGAAACCCCTTTGAATTTTAAAAAAAAATTTTTTGGTTGACCTAGAGAAGTCCAAATCACAAAACGTCTTCGCCGGAACATTTATGATGTCATGTTTTAGCTTTCCAAATTTTTCATAATTTTTGGGCACTATTGAAATTTCTTAAAAAATCGACACCTATAGGTACAAAGTGGGGGTTTTGGGATCATTAGGTGTCCGTTTTGGAAACTGATTTCACCATAATTTTTAAATAAAATTTTTTAAATTACGAATATTTTTCTGTAATTTTTGAAATCTCTAAAAGAACTTTCATAAATTTTCAATTGAAAAATTAATTATAACATTATTATTATATATTATTTTAAAAACAAAATTGAAAATATATAATTCCACTATTATATTACATGAGAAGCTTTGTTTTTTTATTTTTTTTTCGGTTTTAAGCTCAAACAGAGAATCGGCTTGAGGGAGGTTGAGAGAAAGAGAAGTGAGAGAGGATGGAATTCGATTTTTGGGCGTCTTCGGGCCCTTTTTGTCTGTCGACGCAGTTGGGAAAGTTGTTCGTCCTGAGGTAAGGCATATTATGCTCATTTCAATTTTCAAAAATGTGAAAATTTTAGTGAATATTTCAATTAAAATTTTGTATCCGTTAGCGAAAAACGGGGATAACTTTGTACCGGTAAAACTTTCACCGCGTAACTTTTTGTATGTTGTAGATATTATAATTATACACATTTTGAATATTTTCTAGAAATTTTTCACCAGGGGTTTTGAAATTTACGGGTTTTTAGTGAATAAAAAATTATCGGGATTTTAAAAAATAGTGCAATAGTACAATAAAAGTCTTAAAACATTATTTTACACAATCTCTGGTAATTTGGTAATTTTCTTAAAATGTGCATTTTTGCCTAGTTGGATTTTATGTTACCTAGGGATATCTGATGTATTCTGGTGCTATAAGCATAATTAAAAAGGGAGTCATAAGGGGTCAAAATTCTTTGAGATTTTGTTTGAGTCGAGGAAATGTGATCTGAACTACTCTGTGATATAAATTACAATTTATTCATTTGGTATGTACTGTTATCTGAATCATATAATAACTACAATGCATTTATTACATTTTCTAGTTTTGTGATTCTCAGTTTAGTGATTTATTTATAATTAACTGCTTTTAATTATTCATTAATTATTTAGTAAAAATTTTGATAAAAGAATATTTAAAAATTTAGATTGGTTTATATGGCTTGCTGACCTGTTGTAGCTCAAAGTGGTTTTACTTTTGATTTTCAGAATCTGGTAAGAGAAAAGAGGTTGCGGACTAGCTGTTCAGGATCAGATTTGAGGTCATAGCTATTTTGCTATTTTTATTTTTATACAGTCATGATTAATTTAATTTTCAATTATGTAGCTCTTACTTGTAGTCATGTACTATAGTGTATATATTTATTTTGATGAACGAAAGAAATTTTATGGATGAGTTTTTAGTATTTGGATATTTTAGTAGCTCTGTGGTTCATCATTGTTTAAATGAATATCGACAAAAAATCTGAAATAATTCCAAAACTAGATCTTGAGGTTTGCCTGTGTAATATCAAAATCTGCTCCAGGATCGTCCAGGACGATCTGGGATCGTCCTGGGACGATCAGTTGAGAATTTGCTCCAGAATTTGCCCAGATTTGCTCCAGGTGTTTTTCTGTAGGCA